TCATGTATTTACTATACTTTTTAATTATTTTAGAGGGTACTCCTTCTACTTATTTAAAGAAAAAGTTGGCTATAAACAGCTTCAGGCAGGTCCTTCAGGAGGTATTGCACAAGAAGGTGTTGATCTCATAGGAGGCGGCAGCTCCACGCTTGTTATTGCCCCTGAAGACTTTGCAGTAGGACAAGATGTGGAGGGGAAAGACAGTGTAGATGGAGGCTAATGTGTCTGTGTCTTAGTTTTTAACTAAAAAGCTTAAAAAGTTAAAAAAAATTATGGAAATAGAAAAAAGTTTTTAAGAATATAAAATATTTGCGTACAGCTGTACAACATATTTGTGTTTTAAGCTAAGTATTATGAAAAAGGGTTATACAGTTTAAAAAATTAAAACATTTATGAGGTAAAAATGTTACAGGAAGCTAAAGTTAATTTACCATTGAAGAAAGTTTTTTATAAGTTTCGTGTAGCCTAAGTGCACAGTGTATATAAAGTCTATGGCAGCATACAGTCATGTTCTAGGCCTTTGCATTCACTCACTACTCACTCACTGACTCAATCCAAGCACCAGTCTGGCAATCACTATTCGTGATAGGTGCCCTATATAGGTGTACCATTTTTTATCTTTTATACTGCATTTTAAATGTACCTTTTCTATGTTTAGATACACAAATACTTCCCACTGTGGAACAACTGCCTACAGTACTCAGTACAGTAACTTGCTGGACAGATTTGTAGCCTAGGAGCAATAGGCTATACCACATAGCCTAAGTGTAGTAGGCTATACCATCTAGATTTGTGTAAGTACACTCTATGATGTTCACACAATGATTAACAATATTACCCAACGACACACTTCTCAGAAAACATACCGGTCATTAAGCGACATGTGACTGTACATGGGAGGATGGGCATACATTATATGCAAATATTTCACTATTTTATGTAAGCAGTTTGAGTATCTGTGGACTTTGGTATCTGTGGAAGGTCCTGGCACCAATCCCCCATGGATTCTGAGGTATTACTGTACAATGTTTGAATCTATTTTGCTACATTCCAACCAAATGGTTCTCTACCTTAGACTGACACCCCAAGGCACCCAAGGTGCCCATTTCAGCTCCCAAAATCTTGGTTTGAAGGTGCTTCCTTAAATCAAATAAAACTCTGTCTCTCTGTAGCTTTCCATTATAGGTATTCATTCTACGCTCTGGGAGAGACAGCCATGCTCACGATTTAACAGTTGCATGATCTTGGGCAAATTTAGTTAATCTTTTCAAACTGTTTTCTCAACTGAAAATAGGAATAAGAGTATTGATCCCACAGTGTTTGAAGGATTAAATAATACATGTAAAGCACTGAAGAGAGTACGCATTCTCTAAAAGTTGGCTGCTATTTTTATTGCTTGCCTACCAAATTAACCTTATTTGGCAACACATTGTATTTTTTCCTGAGCTCTAAAATAAGTGCAAAAGACCCTTGGCATTCAACTGCAGGAAATTTAGGGTTCTTTTTGTAAGCAGGCCCAAAAGTGGCCCTGGGCCTCCTAGCTGCCTGACAGTCCCCTGGGGACAGCAGTGACCTCTGACCTGGCGTAAGTACTTAACAGTCCCACCTCACCCCTAAACATTTCCTTGTAAAACTGTTATGTGTCTACTGCAACAGTGTTTTTATTAATATATGCAGGCAAATAGAGGGAAAAAGATGGATATTTTGTGTCTAGCACAAACTTGAATCACTTTGCCAGATGGCATCAGTAGTTAGTCACTTAACTAGTAAGATTAACCAACAGCTTAGCATCATTGCAGTATTCATAAATGTGGCAACGCCTTAGATTCCCTTCAATTTTATGTTGTGGTCAGCACTTTCCTAAACTACACATTGCTGCCCCTGACCATCACCACCAGTCCATTTCAGATATCTGATTCTGTTTTTCTTCTCCAACTCAAGCCATATCCCTGACATATGGATCCGAGTTTTCAAAACTTCCAAATTTCCTAATAAGCAAATACATACTGCTGCATCCTTATTTGATGTAGCATGTGAATTACATAGTGGAAGGAGATACCTATACTAACGTGACAGTAGAAAACAGGATGTAGTCAAAACCACAACTTGATTCTACCTTAGAGCTTCAGCTGCAGTTTGCATTTCTTCTCTGATTAGTACCTTGGGCACTATTATCATGGCCTACCCCTTCCCCTTTTGGATTGGTCAGCCCATTCCTGATGAAGTGTCACCTAGGGATATCCAGTCTGCCTTAGGCCTAGAGTTCTGAGGATTCTGTAAGTCATTATTATACTTAAACCTGCTCTTTATCTGATCCCAAGACCACATGAACCCAGAGGCCACATAAACCCAATCTACCATAGGTTGACCCAAAAATAGGTATTTTATCCTATAATCACCTTTCTCTTCAGCAAGAATTTGCACATCCTTGAGAGGCTGAATGGCATTGTTAGAGCCACACTGCCTAAATTTGAATCCCAGATTTCAGTTTTAGTTGTATGGTCTGTGTGCCTCAGTTTCCCCATGTGTAAACAGAGATTAAATTAGTACCAAACTCAGATAACATTAGAACCAAGCTCATGAGATTGCTGGGTAAATGAGTTAATACTTGAAGCAATTTTGATCATCTTTAAATGATATTTTGATTTCAGACTTCTTAAAGTGTTACTTTCAATCCCTAATGTGACTTAGCTCACTCAATCTAATTCCAAAATGATTTGGTGCTTAGCTTGAGCTCCATCTTGTGGCTTTACAGCAATTCTCTGGTAAATGTCAGTCAAAAAGATGACAAATTTCAAAAAGACAAGATAATTATTTAAAAGACAAAAGGACTAGGCTATACTTCTCAATTTGTAATTCTTAAAAATAAAGTGACAAAGATATGATCATACCCCTGCACTAATTTTGAAATGCCAGTCTAAATTTCCTGCCAATATTTGGTGGGGAGAATCTTGGCAGTGTTCAGGAACTCAGTGCCTTAGAAGCTACTCACAACACTGTGTAAGTAAATTTCTCTTCAGTAGTCACCTTTCCAGATATGAGACTCCAGAACATGATTCCAAAATGTTTTCTGGTAATGTTGTTTTGATTTTTGATTTTGTTAACTTTTAAGTTAAATCCTGAACGGACAAACTTCATGACTGGACACAATGAAGTAAAAATCCCAACATCAGAGAGGCCCTGGATGAAAGCTCAAAGCTATTATCAATACAATCAAATTAGAGGTTATCAGCCACAGAAAACATGAACATAGCCCTGGCACTGGTCTCTACTTCAACTTAAAGAAAATCTAGTTAGAAAATACCTGACAATGCTGCCAAAATGTAAATCGGGGCCAAGTGTATAACATTGCTAATGCAGATTTTGAGACGGAGCTTTGCTCTTCTTGCCCAGGCTGGAGTGCAATGGCACAGTCTTGACTCACTGCAACCTCCGCATCCCAAGACGAAGCAATTCTCCCACCTCAGCCTCCTGAGTAGCTGGGATTACAGGTGCCTGCCACCACGCCCAGCTAATTTTGTATTTTTAGTAGAGACAGGGTTTCACCATGTCAGTCAGGCTAGTCTTACTCCTGACCTCAGGTGGTCCACCCACCTCAGCCTCCCAAAGTACTGGAATTTAGTACCTGGTCCCCTTTTTAAAAAATAATAAAAAATGTCTACATTAGGCTGGGTGTGGTGGCTTATGCTTGTAATCCCAGCACTTCAGGAGGTCAAGACGGGTGGATTATCTGAGTCCAAGAGTTTGAGACCAGCCTGGGCAACACGGCAAAACCCTTTCTACAAAAATACAAAAATTAGCTTGGCATGGTGGCACCGCCTTAGTCCCAGCTACTTGGGAGGCTGAGGTGGGAGGACTGCTTGAGCCTGGGTGACACAATGAGACCCCATGTGAAGAAAAAAAGGGTAAATAATTCAGCTAGTATATTTAGGCTGGTATTATCAGTGACTTAACTGGATGTTTACAATTTTTTATTTTATGAATAAAAATGTACGTATCTGCTTTTCCCTCACAAATGCTATTGTTATTCATACCTATACCAAAAGGCAACAAAGGCCATGAATGACATCTTTCAACTCACATCTTCTTAGCTGTTAAGAAATTTTAAGCATTTAAAATTATCTATCAACTTTTCAATAAATGAGATAAAAGAGAAAAGTCTACTGTATTTAAATAATTCCAAGGGTTTATTGGTATTAAATTTTATAAAATGTTTAAATTTTCTGAAACATTTGGGTCATGTTCTCTTTAACTCTATATTGTACCCCAGTTTAGCAGTGTGCTTGGCACAAAGTTTGCGACCTCATGACCAAGTGGCCTTATTCTAATATATTTCACATTTTACTTGAGTTTTCTCGAAAAGTTAACACCCTCTTCTAAGCAGATACACAGTTCTCAGCCCTATGAGAACAGAAATCTTACCTTATTCAGTCTGTCCCTAGCATCTGGAAAGTCTCTGGCACACACTAGGCACTCAGTTTGGTTGTTCCAGTTAACAGATTGCTTAACTAAAAGTAAATTTAAATAAGAGTGAATTTAGCAAACTGTAGTAAGACAGATTTAACTAAAACACATTTTTCAGGAAACGAGTTTCAAAGAGTAAAAGTTAAACACATTTCTTTACTGCTGGATTCCTATAGGACTATTCTATTCCTCAACTAAAATCTTTTGTAAATCTTCAAGTAGCATTTCCCAAATTGATGTGAACACAATTTATTTTTTTTAACCAAGCATCCAGAGAAACTAATTCTGAAGAACACACTCTGAGAAATGCTGCATAATACTACACTAGGCTACACAACATTAACACTGAAGAGCATTAAATCAGTTCCCATGAAAACTTGAAATGTTCTAATTTCCTAAAAAAGCATACTGATTTATATATGTTAATACTCTACCTAAAATTAAGACAAGAACAAATTTAACTTAAGAATCTGGTCTTCTCTAGGACTAAAAAACCTTAAGCATATATGAAAGAAAAAAAATCAAACTTTAAGATCTACATGCAAAATATCTTTTATTCTGTGGAATCAAAGCTCCACACAAGTACTTTGTAAGATCCACTAATTTTTTTTTTTTTTTTGAGACAAAGTCTTGCTCTGTCGTCCAGGCTGGGCAGGACTGTGGGGTATGGGGCGCGATCTTGGCTCACTGTAACCTCTGCCTCCTGGGTTCAAGGGATTCTGCTGCCTCAGCATCACAAGTAGCGGGGACTACAGGTGCACACCACCATGCCCGACCAATTTTGTATTTTTTGTAGAGACAGGGTTTCACCATATTGGCCATGCTGGTCTGGAACTCCTGACTTCATGATCTGCTCACCTCGGCCTCCCAAAGTGCTGGGATTACAGGTGTGAGCCACCATCCTTGGCCAAATGTTGTATTTTTAAATGATGATTATGTAACAGCATTCTTTAAATATAAGTTCACAAAAATTTCTCAATACATCATGTTTTATCTTTACTGACTATAATTACTAGTTGTAATAACAATTCTAACTACATTAATACCTGACAGAATTTTGAGGCCTGATAATAACTGGTATTGGGTAGCAACCAATTAAAAAATCAGTAGAGTTTGCATGTATGAAACAAGTATTTTATTCAAGTTCCCAAAACAAACTTGAGGAGTTATGCTGGGTTTGAATTGAAGAAAAAAGGTCAAGTTAAAATAGGAAAACAAATAGTTTTCATTTGGTGGGAGTTGAAATCAAAATATACATGTGTATACATTCTAATCCATCATCTGTCCCATGTGGCATTTTCCAAGGTTTTAAGTCTACCAGGCCAAACCCTTTGCCACTTTCACTGCTTTTGCTTTACTTTTCCCCTTTCTTCTCTCTCGCTTTGCCTTCAGCTTTTTTCTTTGCCTTTGGTTCATCCATATTGGGTACTGCCCATTCTGGTCTAGAAGAGTCTTTTTGTTTCTCTTAACATCAGTCTCCATTTTCATGTCATCTGCATTAAAAGATGAAAAAACTATTAACACTATGTATGAAAAAAACCATCTTGTGAAAGCATATTAATGCATTGAGAACATTAGAACTGAAGGTAGTCCGAAAACAGAGAAGAAAAAAGCTCTCTAAAAAAAAAAGAATGTTGGCATGACTGTCCTTCCTTAGAATAGTAAAGTTAAATAGAAAACATTTAGGATGTATGGCTCTGAGTTAGTGCATTAGTAGATACATGCTTTAGTAGATATACGCTTCTGAGCACATGTGAGTTACAAGAACATTTCTCATATTAAGTGATTCATTGAGTTAAGAAAGTAAGCACACCCATACTTCTAAGGGATAGAACTTAGATGTAATGAATTGATTAGGAATGACTGGCCATTTCTTATGAACTTGAACTAAATTCTAATGACCTGAGAATTAACTTCTAATGAACTTGAGGGAGTAGTCAGCAGCAGGGCTGTGATGGGAGGGACAGGCAGGCAACAGAGAAGAAAGACCTGGACACATCCTGGGGCTCGCATACTTTTCCTAGCTAGATAACACTCCGAGATCCAGCTCTACCGATAGAAGGCTTGACAAGAAGCTCAGTGCAAGCATGCTGTGATATACCTATCACCTTCTCCACTGTGAAAGACATGCCCAGAGTCTCTCATGGGAACTCCTTACCAAGATACACAAGGTCTACTATTATCTCGACTACCTGGCATTATATTAGATATTAATCATTGTTTCCACAGTATCTAGAATAGTGTCTGGTATATAACAGCCACTCCGTAACTACTTGTTGAATGACAATTTAAGGTTCTATTCTAGGTTCTGGGCTTAGAATGGTCCATATGAGCTCCCAGCCCTCATGGAGTTTACAATGTTCTATTGAGGGAAGAATAACAAAGCAAACAGAAAGAAAACCTCAGCCAGGTATGGTATAGGTGGGCATCTGTAGTCCCAGCGATTCGGGAGACTGGGTGGGAGGATCACTTGAGGCCAGGAGTTCAAGGCTGTTGTGTGCATGGTCATGCCTATGAATAGCCACTGTACTCCAGCCTGGGCAACAAAGTGAGATCCTGTCTCTAAAAAAATAAAAATTAAAAATTAAAAGAAAAAATTTCAGCCTGTGTAAGTGGCTTTTTAAAGAATCACTGGAAGCAGATTAAGAAAGAACTGGTAGGCGCTGGTAAACACATGTTAAGATAATAAGGTTTTAAAGCATGGCAATGATATAATCTGATTTGCCTTCTGAAAAGATCATACTGGTGGGTATGTGGAAGATAAATAAGAAGGAAACAAGAGCAGAAGAGAGAAGTAAAAAGGCTCCTATCATAATACAGGCAAGAGATGATGGCCATCTGAATGAAGGTGAAAGCAAGACAAAAATGGATATAGATTTCTAATGTGTTTTTGGTATAATCAGTAAGACTTGGTAATAGTTTAGGTGTAGGGAACAAAGGAAAGAAGAATCAAGGATGACTACTAGGTTTATGGCTTAAGAAATCAGGTGAGCAGTTGAAAGAGAAGAAATAAGGAGAAACATAAACTTGGGGGTAGAGATAAAAACCAAATGGTTAACACATAGATCACTAAATGGGGAGACTCCCACAGTTTCAGTCCCATCTCCCTTTAGCTCCTAAAATATTCAAGAACAAAGGCATCCAGACATTACCCAGACAGGACATAAGAGAATTTCTCTCTAGGGATGATGAGGAAAAAAAAAAAAGACTTAACAGATTCTGATATAAGAGATCTATCTCCAAATAAAGCCTCCTGGAGCCAATCCAATTCTTCTATACATCTAGCAGTTGACAAACCCTCTCCCACACCTTGTCTCCCTCCAGCTTTCAATCACCATTTTAGTGCCCTACTTTTAAATACAAACAACAACTACTGACCACTAGACATTTGAGAAAAGCCTCTGGTATGAAAGACAGACACAAAAGTAAAGGAATGGAAAGGCTTGGGAGGAAATTCCAAGAGGAAAGACAGACAATACCTAGACACATAGATACAAATTTGAAAAGCATACTGTAATTAATACGCTTAGGAAAATCAGAGAAGACATATGCCCATTTAGAATACAGAGCTGATGACTCAAGGATCATTTACAAAACACAAAGAAAGAAAACAAAGCTATGAAAAAGGAACAGTGAAAAAAAAAAAAGAAAAGAAAGAAAAACTTTTAGAAATTTGAAAACATAAGAGGAAAAAACAAGGCCAGGCACAGTGGCTCATGGGCCAGGCGTGGTGGCTCATGCCTGTAATCCCAGCACTTTGGGAGGCCGAAGCGGGTGGATCACGAGGTGAAGAGATCTAGACCAGCCTGGTCAACATAGTAAAACCCCGTCTCTACTAAAAATACAAAAAATTAGCTGGGCATGGTGGCGTGTGCCTGTAATCCCAGCTACTCAGGAGGCTGAGGCAGGAGAATTGCCTGAACCCAGGAGGCGGAGGTTGCAGTGAGCCGAGATCGCGCCATTGCACTCTAGCCTGAGTAACAAGAGTGAAACTCTGTCTCAAAAAAAAAAAAAAAAAAAAAAAAAAAACAAATACAAGGTCAAGGAAATTAGAGGGTATAACAAAAGAAATAGAAAACAGGAGAGAAAAGAAAACAGAGGATCAATCCAAAAGAATAGAGAGTCATGGGCAAGTTAAGAGTTCTTTATATGGGCCGGGCACAGTGGCTCACGCCAGTAATCCCAACACTTTGGGAGGCCGAGGTGGGTGGATCACAAGGTCAAGAGATAGAGACCATCCTGGCCAACATGGTGAAACCCCATCTCTACTAAAAATATAAAAATTAGCCGGGCGTTTGGGATGCACCTGTGGTCCCAGGTACCGGGGAAGCTGAGGCGGAAGAATCGCTTGAACCCCAGAGGCAGAAGTTGCAGCGAGCCAAGGCTGCGCCACCCACTGTGCACCAGCCTGGCAACAGAGCAAGACTCCATCTCAAAAAAAAAAAGACATTCTTTATATGTCTAGATTCATACAAAGAACTCTTAACAACCCAATAATAAAAACACAAACAACATAATTTAAAAATGAGGCAAAAGACTTGAGTAGACTTTTCTCCAAAAAAGACACACAAATGGTCAAAAAGCATATGAAAAAATATTTGGCTGGGCACAGCGGCTCACACCTGTAATCTCAGCACCTTGGGAGGCCAAGGCAGGTGAACCACTTGAGGTCAGGAGTTCAAGACCAGCCTGGCTAACATGGTGAAACCCCATCTCACTAAAAATGCAACCATCAGCTGGACATGGTAGCACATCTTATAATATCAGCTACTTGGAAGGCTGAGGCAGGAGAATTGTTTGAACCTGAAAGGCAGAGGTAGCAGTGAGCTGAGATCATGCCACTGCACTCCAGCCTGGGTGACAGCAAAACACCACCTCAAAAAAAAATTGTTTAAATGTTTATTCAACATCATTAGTCATTAGGGAACTTCAAATAAAAGTCACAATAAGAATCTATTTCATACCCACTAAGATGGCTATAATCCAAAAATGGAAAGTGAGTATTAGTGAGGATATGAAGAAACTGAAATACTCAAACACCGCAGGTGGGAATGTAAAATGGTGTGGCTAATGTAGAAAACAAACATTAAACACAGAATTACCATATGATCCAGCAATTCCACTTGTAAATATGCACATACAAGAACCAAAAACAGGTATTCAAACAAAAACTTGTGCACCTGAATGTTCACAGCAGCACTATTCACAACAGCCATAAGGGGAAAGAAATCCAAATGCCCAGGAACTGATGAACGGATATGAAATGTGGCAACGGACCATTATTTAGCCTCAAAAAGAAAGGAAGTACTGATATACGTATGCTACGATGCGGGTGACCTTCAAAAGCATCATGCTAAGTGAAATAAGCCAGGTTATATTACATGATTCCATTTATAAGAAATATTCAAATCAGGTAAATCCACACACAGAAAGGGCACATTAGTGGTTGCCAGAGGCTGGGGGATGGGAGGAGGAGACAGACTTTAATAGGCATTAAGTTTCCTTTTGGGGTGATGAAAGTGTTTTGGAACTAGAGGTGGTGGTTGCACAACACATGAATGTACTAAATACCACTGAACTGTCCACTTTAAAATGGTTAATTTTATGTTACATGAATTTTGCCTTAACAACAACTAAAAAGAGCCAATGGGGAGGGGTGACATGCATGTGAGAAAATGAAAACAGCAAGTGAAGGGACGTTTCAAGGACAGCAGAAATAAAGCAGCAGATTGAGAGAACCTGAGATCAAGGGAGAAATTTTTCTTTCTTTCTTTTGACATTGAACATCCCAGAACACATCTATGCTGTTGGCAATGACCCCATGGAGGAGAATGACAACACGGATGCATGAGGACAGCCCCTGAGAATCTAAGCAGGGAGAGGATTCAGAACACAAGTGGAGAAACTGGTCTTGGAGAGAACATTAATAAAAAAGGGAAAACAGACTATATATTCAAATTCTTATAGACTTGGGTAGTGGAAAGATGAGGGTATTTCTGTTGGTTGGCCCCTTTTCTCAGAGAAGTATGTTTTTTGTATTTTTTATTTGTATGGAGTGGAAGAAGAATGAAATGGGAAGAAGAAAAAGTTAAAACCAGCCATTTTTAAGGGGGAAAAAAAACCTAAGGTTGGGAGACTGAGAAATATTGCTCTCTTCTTTCAGCCTAAGACATCAAATATATTTCTATTTGAAAGTCTGGATATTATAAATGCTTAGTTTGCTGCCAAACTGATGTATAAATGTGGGGAAAGCAGCATTATATATATCCTCCAACTTTATGATTAAGACACAAAGGTTCCTAGAATGTGTCAAAATGAAATAGTGAAACTCTGTGATTCAGGATAATAGTATAAGGGCACAGGACTCATAGAATGGGAATCAGATCTTACAAAGAGTAAAATGAAGACATTGTATGCTGCCTAGGCTCTGAGTGAACTGTGTACCCTTCCAACCACAGTGTGTCTAGATTTGTCTAGTCCCGTAAAACTGTTTATTCCTGAGACATGGAGGCTACTGTATAAGCACCAAAGACACACTCCAAAACATACCTATATACATGAACAGGCTTGATAGAATTATTTATTTTTAATGAAGCGCAGAGGGGCTGGGGACTGTGGTTCATGCCTGTAATCCCAGTGCTTTGGAAGGCTGAGGTGGAAGAATCTGCTTCAGCTCAGGAATTCAAGGATACAGTGAGCTATAATCCCACCACTAGGTAACGGGGGAGGGGAGGGAAGAGGGAAGGAAAAAGAGAGAAAAGAAATACACTCACCTTTTTCATCTTTTACCTCACATTGCATTTTCTCTTGGCAATGTTTGGGTTTGGGTATCACCACAGTTGCTATCTCTTGAACATCTTTCATTAAAACATCACCATCTAATTTGAGAATACTTTTAAGCCTGCTGAGCTCCTTTGGGGCATTCTTTTTTCTCTTTTCAGCGCGCATCTTTCTTTTCCACTTGCTCCGTAAGCTTTTAGCCATGTTTTACCTGAAATTAACAAAAATACATATTTGAAAGCAAATCTTTACTATAAAAAAGAAGGCAAATCCCTGGAAAACCAGACCAACAGGCATCTCTACAAAACAAATGAAAAGTAAAACTCTTCAATATGTTCACTTTTTATGACTTAACATACAACTTATGTGAAGATCAACATGGTCAATACAGTCATTAAATATCAATTAAGATATCAAATCAAACTCCTTGTGGTCATAAGCAAACTACAAATCAAACCAATTCTGAAAGCACTTTGAATTTATTTACAAAATACAGAAATTCAATTTCCCCAGAATGCAAGAGCGTCATCACCTTACATTTATGCAACAGCTTACAAATTACAAAGCAATTTTTACAAACACTTCACCCCCATCTTCATTATCCATCCTCTCAAGCCAACCTAACGACTTTAAACTTACCTATTCCTACTCTTGTTTTCTTTCCACTCAGTTTCAGCCCTAAATCCTCCACAAGGTGCTCAGTGTGATCTTTTAAAAAGTTAAGAGCACTAACTGCCTTTCTTTGAATTATTTAAAAACCTCCTCCCTCATATATTCAAGACCTACAAGGTCATTTGTGAGCTGTCCCCTGCCTCCTTCAACTCTATTTCATCTCATTCTTCTTCTCCATCTCCATCCCCGCAGGCTCCAACTGCATCTGAAAAATGTCCAAACTATCTCCACGTTAGTGCCTTCATGCTCGCTGTCCCTATGCCTGGCAACTGCTCTTCTCAAGCCTTGCGCCTTCATTCGATGCCTCAGAAAGGACTCCTCTGACCTCCGTAAGCTCCCTTCCGTGCTTAATAGGTGTTATAACTTGAAATTACTGTTTTCTGTCACATCCCCCTCCCTCTCCCCGGACTGTAGACTCCAGGAAGGCAGAGGGAAAGAAGGCCTTGTTCACCGCTGGATCCCCCAGTGCACAGAATTTTGCATACTTGAACAAATGCCTAACATTTTTTGAACGCCGGCAATCACAAACTCATTCTGCTCCCTTGTCTACATAACAACACTTTGGAGCGGCGAGGAAAAAGGGCGGTAAACAACCTTGAGGGCCGAAGTTAACCTCAGCGGGAGTGAACGACAGGGGAAGGCTCCATTTTACCCAGTAGACTCGGAAGCCGGAGGGCCCCTAAGAGCACTGGGAACCCTAGCCTTGCATCGCCGGAGCGGAGCTCAAGAATAGCCCAGCGAGGGTCAAGAAACGAAATTCTCCAGGGGTGGCGGAATCAAGCCCCAAGTCCCATGTCCCACTAGACCGGTGAGGAACAGAACTCACCTGAGAAACCAACACACACGCCACAGGAGCTCGCCGACCGGAAGTTTTTACACTTCCGTCTTCCGGGCAGAACCGACGGGGGCGTACGCACTGCACGCTGGGAGTCAAACTGCCTCAGGAAGACTCGAGAGGCGGCATTTTGAAAGCCGGACGCTGACGAGCTTCCGACTTCGGTGTGAGCGCAGACCTAGAAACTTGGTCAGTCCTATACAGGTGTAGAAGTCGGATTTGGAGAGTGCGGAAGCGTGTCCCGGTCAAGGTTAGGTCACAGGTGGTTGCTTTCCGGACGTGGGTAGGGTAGCTAAAAGACTCTAACATAGTGAACCTGGCCAGGGGACCCTACTTGTCAGATAGGGAGCCCGGAGCCGACCTTTAGATCTGGCCTTACCGCTTACATGATACTCATCCAACTCTTCCTAGGTCAGGTGTTCTTCCAGAGGCCGTATTGAGATCTTTATTTGCAGTTTGTGAATTTTCTCATCTCGGGTGATGGCTTTACGGATGTACAATTATGTCAAACCGTATCAAATTGCACACTTTAAATATGTGCAACTTATTGCATGTCAGTTATACTCGAAGCTGTTACCAAAAACAAAAAGCAAGCTTTTCCCACCCCAGAGAAGAATTTAAAGCGTAAAATGATCAAAGGATTTCAGTTCTGTCAAGGTTTACCTGTCTGATCACTTACGTATCAGACACAATACTAAGCCTAGGACGATTGTCTTTGCTCACGAAGAACGCTTACTTTACAAATATTTCTAATGGCATAGGCTTTGGAACCATATAGGTCTGTGTTGTATTCTTCCAACACTTGTGAACGATACGGATGAGGAATATCATAAGAGCCTGAATTTCCTTGTCCCTAAAGTGAAGATAATACAACCTAATTGATGCTAGGTAGGAAATAAGAGTTCAACAAATGGTATCCCTTTTACATTATAGTTTGAAATGTATACTACACAGTACTTTTTGTAAGCAGTGTTTCTAGAGATTTACAACATATGCCCAAAAAACAGGAAAAATTGTCTTTAATTATGGCCTGGTAAATTCCTGCTGGTTGCTAGAAAAAGAGAGTTCTGAGACAATTCATGGGTACCTTTTTTCTTTACATTTGTGTCCTTTATGAAGCCATGCACAGCATGGAAATTACTGAATTCAGAATATAGCAAAGTTAAAGAGGCTGAAAACGACTTAGAATATTTGATACAAAAAAAGGAAGCGGCCGGGCGCGGTGGCTCAAGCCTGTAATCCCAGCACTTTGGGAGGCCGAGGCGGGTGGATCACAAGGTCAACAGATCGAGACCATCCTGGTCAACATGGTGAAACCCCGTCTCTACTAAAAATACAAAAAAATTAGCTGGGCATGGTGGCGCGTGCCTGTAATCCCAGCTACTCAGGAGGCTGAGGCGGGAGAATTGCCTGAACCAGGAGGCGGAGGTTGCGGTGAGCGGAGATCGCGCCATTGCACTCCAGCCTGGGTAACAAGAGTGAAACTCCGTCTCAAAAAAAAAAAAAAAAGAAGCATGCCTAAGAAATCAGGTTTCTTTAAATGAGATTTCATTCTTATAAAGCAAGTGAATTTCTATTTTACAAGTAAACCGTATACTGTACCTTGTCTTTCAAATAAGAAGTTAGCTACCTCACCCAAAAATGTATGTGCACAGTGTATTTTAGAGAAAGCTCACTTTCTGATAGTCCATATTTACTGTATCTTGTTTAACATACCAGGCCAAAACTTTCGAATAGACACTTGGCACCAGAAAAAAAATAATTTACCTATTATGAAAATGTCCTATTGTTAAAATACATACCATGATTTAGCATTACAAATGCTTTAAAAAGTTGAATCATGGGCCAGGCATAGTGGCTCACACCTGTAATCCCAGCACTTTGGGAGTCCAAGGAGGGTGGATCACGAGGTCAGGAGTTCGAGACCAGCCTGGCCAACATGGTGAAACCCCCCTCTCTACTAAAAATACAAAAATTAGCTGGGTGTGGTGTCATGCACCTGTAATCCCAGCTACTCAGGAGGCTGAGGTTCAAGAGAATCACTTGAACCCTGGAGGCAGAGATTGCAATGAGCCGAGATCACGCCACTACACTCAAGCCTGGGTGACAGAGCAAGACTCCACCCCCTCCAACAAAAAAGCTGAATCAGGTACTACATTATTACCCCTTTTTTACTTATGTCCCTCACCAGTTACATAAAAGCAGTTCTAGAAAAGTGGCCTTAGTATATTTAAAAATCTAATTCATGCCTTTGAGTATGCACTCTATTATAGGCACTATGCTCAATTTGCAAACACGAAGGAAACTAAACTACTCTTTTCAGGAAGCTATATCCCCTAATGGACAAACAATGCTTAAGGGGCCAACTAGACATTGCAGAGGCTCTTCACAGAACTGAAAGGAGCCTATATATATAACTAGAGGCATAGTGGGTGGCCCTGAATACCTTACAGGAAGCAGACCGATTTTCTCATTGAAAAGGTATGCTACATGATAGAGAATAGTCAGTGGGGCCCCTGCAGTCGGTCCTCTCCCATGGAGTCCCTGATCTGCACAATCACTTAGTAAGGATCGGGAAGACTTCTGGGATTCAAATAGTAACCCCATGTTGCCCATTCCCTAGATGATGGGAACTTCAAGACAACGCTCTAGAAAGATGAAAGGTAAAAGCAAAAAGTATCTAAGTTTCTAGCTGCTCCAAAAAAAAGGCCTGCCACTGGCTGTTGACCACTAATCCCTACAAATGCATCAGGTGGACTGAAGCCAGGTCTGAGAAGAAATGAAGGCGGGTATACACGGCCTACTGAAATCTCTTTTCCCAAATTACATTCAAGATATACAGACGTTCTCAGCTACTATTCTTTCTTCATTTTCCTCCTACCTCTTAGCTGTTCTTCCTTTGGCCCTTGCACACTGACTTGCCTGTTGCTCTGTCCAAGTCCTGCTAATTCCACTTTCTTCCTATTAATATTTCTGGAGTCTGAATATTTTCACCTTTACTGAATGCAATGCTTTAAAATGGTCTAGGTATATTCTCTACCTAGAACTCATACCTATGCACAGTGGGACACACACAGGGACTTACACAGCAGCATTAATTAGGAGAGTAAAAAAGGAAGAACCACATAAAATTCATTGACAGATCATGGGAATAAACCAATGGTTCATTTATAAAATATAGTGTTTTTTTTTTTTTTTTTTGAGACACAGTTTTCGCTCTTGTTACCCAGGCTGGAGTGCAACGGCGCTATCTCGGCTCACTGCAACCTCCGCCTCCTGGGTTCAGGCAATTCTCCTGCCTCAGCCTCCTGAGTAGCTGGGATTACAGGCACACGCCACCATGCCCAGCTAATTTTTGTATTTTTAGTAGAGACGGGGTTTCACCATGTTGACCAGGATGGTCTCAATCTCTTGGCCTCGTGATCCACCCGCCTCGGCCTCCCAAAGTGCTGGGATTACAGGCTTGAGCCACCGTGCCCGGCCTAAAATATAGTATTTTATACCAAAGGTTTTCAAACTTCTTGGTCTTGGGATCCCTTTATACTCTTAATAATTATATTGATCATATAATTATATTGATCATATCAGAAATTAAAATGATTTTTTTGGAAATTTAAGTCATTTAGAAACGATAAATTTATTGCATGTTAACATTTTTGTGGAAAATAACTTTTCTAAAAATAATGTGAAAATGGCATTGTTTTACATTTTTAAAATGTCAGATCTACTTTTGCTTATACAGAATCTTTAGTCACAAATCAGTCCATTTAGCCTTTGAGTGGAAAATAATAGTATTAATGCCATCAGTTGACATTAATTAAGCACTTAGTTTATTTGCTATATCTCTCTCATTTAATCCTTATGACAGCCCAGTAAGCTAGGCATTATTATTATTATTCCCATTATGAAGATGAGGCAAAAGACTTAAGGAAGGATAAATAACTCGATAAATGTTACACAAGCAGCTGGTTGGATTGCAAGGATTCTAATCTAGATGCTCTTACCCACCATACTACGTTAAACTTAATTGCATTGCATCATGCACTTGAGAATTCAACAGTTAATTAATGATAATAGGGTCAAATTTACACCTAAAAATCATGCAAGGTTAAATCAATACTACTAATTTATTTCAACTTAATAGCTGGGAAATGCTTAGGGGGAATTATGGGCTGAGTTGTAGCACCCCCAAATTCACATAAATCCTAATCCCAGCACCTCAGAATGTGACTGTATTTGGAGATAGGTCTTTAAACAGATAATTAAGGAAAAATGAGGTCTTCAGGGTGGGCCCTAATCCAGTATGACTGTTGTCCTCATAAGAAGAAATTTGGGCACAGACAAGTATAGAGGGAAGATCATTTAAAGACAGGGAGAAGACGGCCATCTACAAATCAAAGAGAAAGGCCTCAAAAGAAACCAACTCTGCCAACACCTTAATAGTGGACTTTTAGCTTCCAGAACTATGGGAAAATATATTTCTTGTTGAAGCCACTCAAGCTGTGGTTCTTTGTTATAGCAGTCTAACAAACTAGTACAATGAGGGAATTTGAGAAAATTTCACTGGTTACTGGTACACTGACCTAACATGCTGTGTGGACCAACACAAATGAAACCATAAGACAATATTTCACAAATATTTTTACTTTGAAATAGATACACTTCATGGCTGATGACCCAGTATCTTTGGTGTCCTTTAACCACATTAGCGTTCTGTGATTTCAAAATGAAATCTATACTTTAAAAAACAAATAATTAATGTCAAATTTTGTCATGATATCTGACTTTCAGGCAGACTTAATTTTAGTACAACTTAAAATGTCATTAACATTCTAATACGATTTTAATACAATACTGAATTCTCTGTGGAATTTATCTTTTATATATTTTTTCCTTTTCAATTAGATGAACATCTCCAAGCAAAAAGAGATTTATAGTTTTTTTTTTTCTTTTTTTTTAGACAGAGTTTTGTTCTTGTTGCCCAGGCTGGAGTGCGGAGTGCAATGGTATGATTTCAGCTCACCACAACCTCCACCTCCCAGGTTCAAGCTATTCTCCTGCCTCAGCCCCCTGAGCGGCTGAGATTACAGGCATGCACCACCACCCCTGGATAATTTTGTATTTTTAGCAGAGACAGTTTCACCGTGTTCATCAGGCTGGTCTTGAACTCCCGACCTCAGGTGATCCACCCGCATCAGCCTCCCAAAGTGCTGGTATTACAGTCGTGAGCCACCTCTCCTGGTCGAGATTTACAGTTTATAATGGTAAAGACACTGCTACTTCAGAATCAAAGACAAATCAGTATTACCTAATAATTTGGGGAAAATTTAGATAAAATCACTAGACAAAAGTAAACTGATACTCTTATCTACTCATAAAATTATCTTTGAATTGTAAATAAACAGCTATGCATGGCTAATTTAGGAAGAAATACATTTTTAATAGAATTTTGATAGCTCTTAAATGACATCCTAAATCAAGGATTTAAAGATGAAGTATCATAAAGAATAGTAAGATTTTAAAGCTCTCAGAGTAATACAGGATACAAATAAAGACTGTAACAGTATTTAATCATTGTCCAAAACTTTATGACTTAATGAAAGTTTCTATATACTACTTCAATTACTTTTTTAATCCTTTTTTTCTCACTAAAGAAAATTTTTTTTATTCTTCAGTTGAGCCAAGATGCTTTTAATTACTTTTTATTAACTGCTTCCAGAAACCGTAACAGGTGCAGGAATAGATTGATAATGTCCAAGTAGAGGCTGATAGCAGCTAATATGTATTCTTCAGGTGACAGTTTATGCATCAGTGAGTGTGTGTCATAGATGATGAATCCACAGAAAAGAAGGGCTCCTGCAGCAGCTAAGACCAACTCCACTGTCTCACTATAAAAAAATAACTATAGGGAAGACATTAGAGAAATATGATGATATTTGAGAACAGTACTAAGAAGACTAAAGTTACTTCCTCTAATGATTTACTGCTACATTACACATTTGACAATGGTGCACAACTTTGAATACAAATGTTAAAAGCGGAAAAAGGCAAGACAGGTCCAAACTTGCTTCTTTTGGATGGAAAGACGAATGAATGGATATATTCTTTTAAACTAAATTGCCCACTTTGAAAAATAGCATTCCAAATATAAATTATTTTAAAATATATTTAATTTTTCACAATTAAATGTGCCATTGGAGCTTGGCAGTTATAAGAGGGCCTCTTTCTATATAATTTAATTCATGTATTCATTCATCTTTCTTTCAACCAATAATAATGACCAACACGAGACCTTGATTTTTTAAAGGGATAATTCTATAAACAAATGTTCTGGATAATTATAACGAAATGTCCTATCATAAGAGTATCTTTTATAGCTTTTTGAGGTTATTTATATTGGCACAGCCAGAATTATATTTCAAGTTAACCATTATAACATAACTTACCTTGAAGAATCCTGACAAGCACAAAATCCACAAAAAAGCAAACAGCCTATAAAAATAAAAGTTTAGTAATTTAGAATATTGTTCCTTACAAAAAACTCTGTAAACCCGTTTAACACTTTCTGGAAAAAAAAAAAATCCATCCAGACTTTTTGCCAAAGAATAACTAAAATGTAAGAATTTGTAAACATACAATGAATATAATGCCCATTTTGGATTTTTAAAAAAGAAATTTAAAAAACAGCTATTTCTTCAACATTTGTCTTTATGGTATACAAACCTAGTTAAAAGTATAATTTGTGAACTTTTTAATTGGAGCACAAAATATAGATAAAAGCAGAAATATTACAAGTATTTTAATTTGGAAACTTAGAAAAACTTTTAGAAAATACATAAACAAATGAAATATGACTGTACTTTTAAGCCAAGTAATAAGTTATTCTGTGAATATGCATATCTATTAAAGTTCACGATGTACTTTCCATTTTATTCTTATGTATTATAGAATTCAATCAATGGACACATCTGACACTGCTGTAATTCTATGAGTTACAATTCAATTGTTATATAGAGAGAGTATAAATTATATGAGAAATGACATCTAAGAAGTCAGTCTTTTGTTATCAAATATGGGGCATATCAGCTGCTTCAGGTCACAAGGAATTACAGAGGCCAAATTTATCCTCCCTCTTTAAATAAAACCAGACAAAATATATGAAACAACAGTTTTTAGACACTAGACAGCAAATAGCACAGGACAGGGGTTCCTGAGATAAAGGATACAAAGAAACTAAAGTCTATATTTGCCCCAGCTACAGTTTCCAGGCCACCATGTAGGGATAAGAACCCATACAGACATTTATGGTCTCCTGTGAGTTGAGCAGACAAGAATTCAGAGGTCAGGTAAGCCAAGGTGGCTAGAATTTGTAGGGCAGAGTACTAGAAAAAAGAGAACTATCCACCAAGAGTGAGAACTCTGGTATATACAAAGAGTTCTTCTAGAGTCTATAGCTAAGATCTGATTGATACATGCATGTGAGGAGGTGACCAAAGCTGGAGAAAGAACCACCATAGAGAAGCAGGCAGAACAATCATCAAAAGTTCACACAGGACTGGGAATAGTTTGCATTCACACCAGCCAAAGCAGAAAGACCTCCTAAGACATGCACTGAGTAGTACTCTGAAGGGTACTGTCTCAGCAATACTCTTAGGGCCAAATGAGCCCCTAAACTAAAAGCTGTTCTGGACCTGTCTAACAGAGCCTCAGATTTACTTTACAAGGAACTTACCTCCATTCTAGGAGAACAAAGCCAAATATATTTAAAGTTAATACAACAAAATTCAGCACCCAACCATGTAAAATTTATAATGACCAGCATCCAATAAAAATTATAAAGGCATGCAAAAGAATGAAGGAAATATGACGCATAACAAGGAGAGGAAACAATAGAAACAAATCCAGAAATGACACAATGATAGAATAAGTAGACAATGACATTAAAAATGTATTCCCTAGTTCAAGGAGATCAAGGAAAGAATGATCATGAGAAGAGAAATGGAAGATACTTTTTTTTTTTTCAAAAGACACAAATTGAACTGAACTTTAATTAATTAAAATTCAATATATACAATAAAAATGCTCTGGAATTAATAGAGTAGACACTGAAGATTACTAAATTTGAAAACAGCATAAAGCAAACAAACAAAAAAAGAACAGAACAGAACATCAGTGAATTAGGGGACAATATTAAGAAGTGTAACATATATGTAAATGGGATTTTCAAGCAAAGGAGAAAGAAGGGGAGACAGAAAAATATTTGAAGAAATAATGACCCCAAATTTCCCAGATTTGAGCTGGGCACAGTGGTGTGTGCCTGTAATTCCAGCTACTTAGGAGGCTGAGGGAGGCATCACTTGAGCCCAGGAGTTCAAGTCCAGCCTAGGCAACACAGCAATACCCCATCTCTTAAACAAATTTCTTTTCCAAATTTGTTGAAAATTTTACATTATCAGATACAAGAAACGGAAGAAGAGAAGAGGAAAGGAAGAGAACCACACCAAGAAATATTGTAATCAAATCACTGAAAACCAGTGATAAAGAAAAAATGGTAAAAGTAGGCGGGCGGGGGCGGGGGGGTGAGGGAAACATACATAAAGGAATAATAAGAAAGATAATAGACTTCTTGTCAGAAACTACATAAGCCAGAGGACAGTGGAATGACATCTTTAAAATATTGAAAGCAAGAAAAAAACCCAAAACCTAGAATTATAACTTTCAAAAATAAAGGCAAAATAAAGATTGTTTTTTCAGACACAAAAGGTGACCAACAGATGATAAGCAATGTTAAGAAGTCCCTCAAATGATATTAGACGGAAATTTAGATTTACATAAAGAGATGAAGAAGAGTAGAAATGGCAAATACATTGATGAACATAAAATACTTCTATCTTTTAACTCCCTTTAAAAAATAATATAATTTTTAGACCAAAAATAATAATGTATTATGGAGTTTATAACATGTGGAACTAAAAGTTATGGCAACAATGGCATAAAGGCAGGGAAAAGGAGATACAAGTATACATGAAATGGCATATTATTTGAGGATAGACTGTAATAATTTAAAGTCATGTTTTATAAAACCTTGAAGAACCTCTAATTATAAGAAGTATAGCTAATAAGCCAATAAAGGAGATAAACACGACCATCTTAATAATCACACCAAATGTAAGCAGACTAAATACACCAACTAAAAGCAGCGATGGTCAGATTGAATTTTTGAAAACCAAGATCCAACTATGATTTCTACCAAAAAAAAAAAAAAAAAACTTTAAATATAAAGACACAAATAAAAATAAAATGATGGAAAAAGATATACCATGCTAACATTGCTAACACAAATTAAGAAGAAACCTGAGGTGGCTATATTAACAACAAAGTAGATTTTAGAGCAATGATATTAGAGCTTAAGAAGGTCATTTCATAATGATAAAGGGGTCAGTTCACCAAGAGTACCTAACAATCCTAAATGTTTCTACATCTAACAATGGAGTTTAAAATAATATGATGCAAAATTATAGAATTTACATGAGAAATAGACCAATCTATGCTTGTAGTATTAATTGATAAAACAAGTACACAGAAAATTAGTAAGCAAACAGAAGACAACATTATTAACCAACTTTACCTAACTGATATTTATCAAATACTCCATCCAACAGCAGCAGCAAAAATACACATTCTCGTCTAGTGTACAAAGAACGTTTACCAAGATACCATTTTAAAAAATGCAAAAGGACTGAACTCACATAAAATAAGTTCTCTCACAATAACAGAATTATTTATTGTAATGCTATTTGGTGAACTGAAGGCAGAATGTGACTGTAGTCTTCAGCTGTCTCTCTGAAATGGCCCTAAAATTTTTCAGGATACATCTGGGATACCTAAATGGGAATGAGGTATCATGCTAACTCACAATATAGATCCTTCAGGACTGAAAGGTACTTAGGATTTGCTTTTTCATTCTTAAACCCTAGGGAAACTCCAAAGCTCCTGTACCATGGGGTATGGGGAAGGTGATATTAAGAACTTAAAGCATCCAAGATATTACCCTACTTGCAGGCTAACAAGTTAGTCTGGCACAGTCTCATGGATACATCAAGCCCCTAGGTCTGAGGATAAAGGACAGTTTATAGTAATAACAGTAGTATCAGCATTTTAATGACAGAGCCCAGTTTGTATAGGGTGATGCCAAGAAGGCCACATGACACCTATACACACAGTGGGTTGTGTTACAAGATAGGAACTTTGAATTTAGGGAAGCAAGTCTTTTTTATAATATAAAGTAAACATGGTTGCCCTCTGCTCCAGCGAGCACTATTTCTATCTTCCCAGGCTGTTCACTATTGAAAAAAAAAAAAAAAAAAAAAAAAAAAAACCTTAAAAAGATTGTCTGGAACAAAGGGCAGTCAGCACATCATTCACAGGACATTCAGAAATACACGAGACCCATGAAAAATCCTCTCTCATTCTTGTAGGCTTCTAATAAGACATTAGGATAGGGCTGCCAGAGGTCTCTGGACATTAATTTACTCTATTATTCACTAACTGGATAAGATCCTACATTTGAGCCTGATCAGACACTATTGACAATACATATTAAAACAGGTATCTTTTCTCCTCTACGACATCCAAGTTGAAACCTGACACTAAAACTTAGGCTCCCTGGTTAAGCAACATGTTCCCCCCAGGGACCTAAATGTACACACACTAAAAGGGCTATTTAGGGTCACAGGCTCCATTTGGTAAGCTTTTGGTAAGAAATTCAGCCTAAGACTTGTCAGTTTATAACAGCATTCTCTATACATACTGTAACAGGTAAAGATTTGAAAGTCATGTCCTACAAATAATCTCCCTAAGTTGTTACTCCACTCTTACTTTGACTTACATCTCATTAAATATTTAAACATCAAAGACAGCAAACTTTCTAAGAATACAGATAAGATATGCCATGGATATAGTGCTGATTTTGCCATTCTAACAACTCCATCTATAGGAGTGACAAATAAATCCTATCCTCTTCCCTCTCAACAAAAAGCACAGAATAAGAAGTAACCTACAAACAGTGATGTCCCAGTAAACTGACTTTCTGGGAAAGAAAATGAGCCCTGATTTGTAATGCTTCCTAATTTCTGTGGTGTACATACATCCTCCATGGCCTATTTTAAGCTTCCAACAGTTTAACAACTGGCAAGTTTAAATCATAACTGGCAAGATGCCTCTTACAAGCTAGCACAAGCCAATTCTAGTACACCAATGACAGTTGCCATAGTTACCATATGTAGTTCTGCGATTTAATTCCTTTTGTGGCAAAATTACTACAGGATAATAATGATGCTGTAAAAATATCACAGCTTTAAGTCAATCTATGAAGCACTGCCACCACTGCCGATAATACCATATATTTAACAACTATTTCTTCAGTCCCTACTATAGCCCATAAACAGGTCAGAAAGAACAGCCTATAAACTTTTTGAAGAAAATATTTTCAAATAAAATCTTTTCCCTCAGTCTTTATATCCCATTTTGGCATTTAGCTTCCACAACCACTTAGGCTTTGATGCTTCACAATAAAGTAGTTTTATTTAAAATGCAATAAAGTGCTACTCTTAAGTAGCTGAATCGATGGCATATTGACTAAAGTGTAATTATTATTAGGATTTTGCTAGAGAGTCATTATATGGCAATATCCAGTAACAGATAGCAGTACATGTGATTCAGTGGAGAACAAGAGCAGAAGTGAAGTGTTAAGGTTTTAAATGGGTATACTGTGATCAAGTTTCCATTTTTCTATCACCCAGCTGCTTGGTGGTAAAGAGGCTGGAAACTGCTAAGACTGGAGAATAGAGAGACTAGTTGTAGTAATACAGCTGAGAGACAATTTTGAAAGAGTTCTGTTTCCAGTATTACAGTAAACAAGAACATTTCAGACTAATTACCACCCCTGTCCCACCCTGAAAAACTACTAACATGATGCATAGAAGAGAAAACAAAGAATACCTTCTTAAAAACATCAAATAACTGTCAAGATAGAATGGAATTACCAAGCCAAAATCTAGGTAAAATTGGAAACCCAAAGAAGTAATCATGGTACCAAAGCTGAATTTACCCAACTATAAGAAAAGTCATCAATGCACTAAGCAGGGGTAAATTGAGGGGTAGGGGCAGAGAAGAACTATCCCAGGGAAATTGCCACCACAAGCTATCCCTTTTCGGATTTGTAGTCTAAATGAGTAACATCTGGGTGGTTGGGAAAGCATCATAAGCCATGAATTTAGTTTCAAGTAGACCCAATTCAATAGTTTTCCCAGATGCCAGGCAAAAACCCAATTACTCCAGGAAAAACTGCATCTTCAACTGAGGCCTCAAAGAAATTCAAAAAATAATTTTTCAAGAACAGTTACATAGTCAAAAATAACCAAACACACAAAGAAAATACTGTAAGAATTATCAGAAATGGCACACACACACACTTAGAAATATCTGATCTCAGATCTATCTGATCATTGTAATGTCATTTGTATCAATAAATGTAAAGTTATTGCGAAGAGGCTAAAATATAAGGCAGGTTTACCAGAAAAGGATTTGAAAGATGATACTGGAATGAATGAAAGGCAAGGACAGTTGGAGACTGAGTTGGGAACAGGAAGTAGAACAAACTGTTCATCATATATGCCACACAAATATATATGAAACATCCTTCCAAAAAAGGAAAAGGAAATAGAAAATATTACCTCTCCCTAAATCAAACTCCATTCTAAGAAAACTATTTAAGTAGTCTGCACAATTGTCAGTGTTGGCTAACCAACTGTATTTTATGTCTATAGAGACTTCTGGTGTTCTGGATTACCAGAATAAAAGGGGTAAGGGAGGAAAGTTAGTTTAGCAAGAGCAGACTTTGTAAATAGGGTTGTAACAGGAAAAAGGAAAAGAAGACTGTGTGCGAACAGGAAGCCACTGTGAGCTTAGAAAAGAGGCCATGCATTCCTACCAGGTGAGGGCAACATAGTACCATAATCCTAACGCAAAAAGGATCAGTCTGTATTATTTGTTTGAAGAAGAATACAGGTTAATCCCTATCAATCAAAAGGTTTTAAATTTCATGCAGACCCTTTCAATATCTGTACTAATTACAGTGCTTTTTCCACAAAGATGTGGATGGTCTTGGTAAGATTTATGCTAAGACAGACTGAAATTTCAGTAAATTCCATAATGTTCATAAAGCATAAAAGCTTAAACTCTCTGGAAAGCTGATTTTTTTTTTAAAAAATTCACTTCCCTTTCACTACAGAAGAGAAGCAAGTAACGCAAAGCCACTTTTCATTTCTGTGTATGTTCTGGGAGAGTAAGGCCTGGCCCTAGTATTCAAAGAGATGATCTCTAAAGATAACAGTGTAGCACTTTCCTCAAAACCACCTATAATAATTAAAGACATCTATTATATCCAAGAATATATATAACTTACCCTGCTCCTAATTTGCTGAAATCCCTCTTAGCTTGCAGAGTATACATAGTCAAACCAAAAAATACTCCAGTAGTCAGTATGTAAGCTTGCAGAATAATATGTACATCATAGAAAGTAACTGTAAAATTAAAACACTAATTAACATGCATATAAACATGCTCAATATAAAACAGCTTTTTCTGGCATTTTACAGAAATGCTTCATTTTCTCCTGTACTTTATGCCAACAAAAACAATTATGAAAAGGTTTCTTATCCATCCTTGGGTACAATGAAACCACATCCATAATGCAATTAACAGTGTCCAAAAAATTCATTCATACCAAATTGGGGGGGTCACATTATTACCAAATTAATGAAATGACTAGAAAGCTCTTATGCCTGTAGACAGGAGTTTTAGGGATATGGTAGAGTGATTCTCACCTATCTCTGTCCCAGTCGCAGTTTACCACCATCTGTAGTAATTGTCCACTATGGTTTCAATATCAGTAGAGATGATTCTGGGTTTCCTGCCAGACTGGAAATTTCTGGACAGTAGCAGCAATTCCAGCAATCACCTGGTTACACTTTTTTTTCTTGCCCAAATCAAAGCAATTGGGCAAGAAAAATATTGGGGCTGTCTAGGGTTGCCTACCATTCACTTACCCTGCAGAAGACAGAAATCAACCACTAAGTGCTTTATATCTAATGTGTATTATCTTGGAGTACACTATTGTGGCGTTTACTGAATATATGCCAAATTCCTTTCTGTAATTTTAGAATAACCATCCGGTCAATTATGGCTATTGTAATAAAACTCCTTAACATTTTAACAAATTGCAAAGTTATAACCTCTTGGAGGTTAACTGCTTTGAACCCAAAGCCATTTAAATAATTTTTAATTTTTCAAAGATTAATTATTCACTTTCTTGCTATCCCTAAATGCTACATGATTGGAATTTCTCTATTTATACCATTACAGAATTAGGAGGTGAACAGGGAAAAGATAAGACATTAAGTCAATTTTGCTTCTTGTCAGTAATTTAAGTATACGATTAGGTTGAAAAGATACTGCAATTATTGAGGAAAATAATGTTCTCAGATTATCCCATCTATGTTTTTCTGTCCCAAATTCCAATAATCCTGAAATGAATCTCTCTCCTACATTCTATGTACATAGTAGAGGCTGGAGAAGGGAGAGATGGATTTGATAACCTTAATAGCAAGTAACATTAATAATAATTAAATATTAATAATACTGCCTATGTTGAGAAGCCGCAATCCTATTTATTATTTATTACTATGTATTTATATTGATTATTTTTAAATGAGAGATTAAAAAAATACAGATTAAACAAAACTGGCATAGAAAGATTCAAAAACCTAATGACAAAATAGGAAGAGTTAAATATATTAACCTATTAACTATAGGATAAACAACTTACTGTTATTAAGAGTAATAGTTAACTCTGACCTTTTTGGTACTCAAGGTTAACCACTTGGAGACAATCAGAATTTTTATTCTTAATTTATTGAATTTTTTTACTGGAGATATTATATAAGGTTCATTAAGTAATTATAACAGACATGGCCTTCAAACACATGTTTAACATGAAATACAGAGCAAAAATGACCACTGTTTCTTGCAATGCTGTTTGAAACCATATGAGGATATAACATTAAAGCATAGTTCAGCAGAGGCAAGTTAAAGGAGTTAAGCTCATATGATCAAAATATATGGTTCAAAATACATGTTCTCAGTTACTTTAAGATACTTTTAAATTAGGGAAAAGATTAGCTATAGTTGTCTTATTTTTATAAATAAGTCAACAAATGAAATAATGTTCTCCATTCCTTTTATTTTTCTTTTCCACTTCTAAGCTCAGCTGAAATAAGTAAAGGATAAATATCTAACTTTTGCTTATACTTTAGGAATTTTTCATCCTATGCTCTATTTCTGAAATATGATATTCCATGATGTTAGACTTCAGCCCCAAATACCTTTTTACCTGAAAGATTTATCTACATTAAAAAGTTATTATAACATATAGAAGTGCAATTACGGCTTACCAACAACTGCCACAGCTAGAGCTTCCAATAGTGTCTAATGAAAAGAAACTGAAATTAATGACTGTAAAATTTACACTATCTCATGTACATTTTCTAATTTCTAGCAGCTTAATGTGATCCCATATGAATGATCTCATTACCTTCAAAGCAGCCCTGTGAAGTATATGGGGCAGTTAGTAAACCTACCATAATGAAAATGAGATCTCAATTTATTAAGTGAGAATATTTAATTCTAATTTTGACATCAAGACTCTTTAAGCTCTAATCTCATGTAACAGGAAGACTATAAATATAAAACATTCTACTTTTCTTACTCTGTAATATAAATAAAAACAAAATTGCAAATTATGTGCACATTTATAAAACCTCAATACCTCACACAAACATAGGAAGAATAAAATATTTAGGTAGTACTTTAGTGTGGGAGTCTTGAAAGTATTTCCCAATATTCCTTCTCTCTTTCTTCCCTAATAACAGAATTTTTACCTGGACACATGGCCGTTCAGATTTTACTGCATTTTTTCAGTCTCCTGGGCAGCTAGGTCTGACTATGTAATGATATTCTAGCCAATTTAATATGACTAAGAGAGGTATACAACATCTGGATTGTGCTCTAAAAGCAAAGACTTGCCCTCCCTTTTCTATTCTCATTTGTTTGTATTAATAACTGAATGCTTTGTGGATATGGGAGTTATCTATCATATACCACACAACTCTCTAGGAATGCCTTGACCATAGCAGAAGCATGGGCCCTTGTCACCTTCACTAAATTGTCATTCAGATTTTCACGAGAAATAAACTGTCTTGTTTAAGCCACTGTTACTTTGTCACTGTTTAAGCCATGTCAGAAGTAGCAGAACCCATATCCTAAATAAAAGACTTGGCATTAATGAGTCTTGTCCTCTAGCCTCTCTTTCCCCTTAATTACAGTATCTTTATTTTGTCTTATATGCTTACTCTAGATAGATTTTATCAACCATCTGATAGACCATATCACAAAGACAAAGTCAGAAATAATGGCAGTGGCTGTATAATCATAATCCTCGTAGAAGCATCCTCTGTACTCCACCATACCTGATATCAGGAAAACCATCAGTACCAGAGCAAAAATGGTATTAGAAATTGTACACAGACGTGGAGGCAATGGAACTGCTGTCACATTTTAATGCTTTTAGTAGTGCCAGTAAAAGGGTAGCAAAATATAGAAATCTTTTTCCGGACTGGGCACAGTGGCTCACTCACACCTGTAATACCAGTACTCTGAGAGGCTAAGGCAGGTGGATTGTTTGAGTCCAGGAGTTTGAGACCAGCCTAAGTAACATAGCAAAACCCCGTCTCTACTAAAAATACAAATAATTAGCTAGGCGTGGTGACATGTACCTGTACAGATTCCCAGCTACTCAGGACGCTGGGAGGTGGGAGGATCACTCAAGCCCAGGAGGCAGAGGTTGCAGTGAGCCAAGATCGCGCCACTGCACTCTAGCCTGGGTGACAGAGAGACCCTGTCTCCAAAAAAAAAAAGAAAAAAGAAGAGAAAATTGGGGGGGGGGGGGCGGTGCACAACATGATTACACTATATTCTTGCTATTTGTGACAAGATTTTAGGAAAGAAATCCCACCCACATTCAAGTATCTGAAGGAAACAGGATGATATAAATAGGCATAAACAGGAGTAAAGATAAGACTAGGAAAATATGATAATGCCCCCTTTAAAACATATATACACATGCTTCTCAAGTTATAATAGGGTTACATGCTAATACACTCACTATAAGTTGAAAATATCACAAGTCAAAAATACAGCCCAGAGTGTCTTTGGTTAAAGAATCACCAATGCTTAAAGTCTGAAATTTCATGGTTGCATATTGCTTTGACACCATCATAAAACCGAAAAATCTTAAGTTGAATGATTTTAAGTCGAGGAATATCTATCTATCTATCTATCTATCTATCTATCTATCTATCTATCTATCTATCTATCTGCCTACCTACCTACCTACCTACCTACTGCCTGTGTGTGTGTGTGTGTGTGTGTGTGTGTGTGTGTGTGTGTGTCTCCATGCATACACACACTCCTACTACCTTCTTTCTTATCCTGCTGCAGCAGGACCAAAAAAACCCTAATGTTAAAGGTCCCTGAGTAATTTGAAGAAATGTATTTTACATACTTATTTGTTAAACCATTTTTAGCTATGGGCATGATGAATAGATTTAACAATCAGTGACTATTTTGCCTATAAGCATTTGGCTGATGCTTTTCTAGTGGGACCTCTCCCTGCTGGGCAAAAGTTGACCCATACCCTCTTCCCACATAGAAATCAGTCTTTCTGAGAGAAGGCTACATGTAGATGTAAAGAGGAATTCTATATGGCCTTCTTTCTTTTTATACTTCCTCTCTCCTGAGACATAGCTAACTAGGCCAGGAGTTGGCTCTGATGCAATGTCTGGCAACCCATATATTGACTAACAACCTACAAATGTGACCTGTGCCAACAACCAAGTATACCAATCCGATTTATTCTCTCTCTCTCCTTCCTTACTTTTCCTTCCTTCCTCCCTCCCTTCCTCCTCCCCCTACCCCTTTCTTTTTGAGACAGGGTCTCACTCTGTCACTGAGGCTGGAGGGCAGTGGTGCGATCTCATCTCACTGCAACCTCTACCTGCCGGTTCAAGTGATCCTCCTCCCTCAGCCTCCCAAGTAGCTGGGACTACAAGCACATGCCATAACATCTAGCTAATTTTTGTATTTTTTGCAGAGACAACGTATCGCTATGTTGCCTGGACTGGTCTCAAACTCCTCAACTCAAGCAGTCCGCCTGCCCCAGCCTCTCAAAGTGCGGGGATCACAGGCATGAGCCACCAGGCCCAGCCCAGATTCTTTCTGACCCAGGAATCTGAACTCAGAGATTGAAGCAATGGCAGTGGGAGCTAAAGCTAAATTACTCTATGGGGGCAAAAATTAATTATCTTTAATTTATATATGACCCATTGTTTGGGAAACAGAAAAAAATGTGTAAGGACAACTGAGGTAGAGAAGAGATGTCATAGAACAAGGGAGAGGAAAACACAAACTCTTGTCACTGAATTTCCTATGATATCATCATTTCTAGAACCTTCCTTCAGTTATCCAGTTCATCTTCCTTGAAGAGGATTTGGGTTGGTGGGTTCTGAAGCACTTACATCCTTAAACTCCTTGTTACTTGCGATAACTTGAGTTAGGACTAATGATCTTGTAAACAAAAGAGCTTAAGGTTTAAATGAATAATCTTTCCTATAACTGAAACCTGCAAAGTCATCAGCTTTCCTTTATCATTTTAACACAAACTCATTATCAGAATTCACAAACTTTTTAAAAGCATTTTAATACAATCATAGCTTTTTCACTCGTATTTGACAAGTATTCTTTTTTGTCTGTCTGAAATGCAGTCTCTGTCATCCAAGCTAGAGTGCAGTCATGTGATCTGAGCTCACTGGAGCTTCCATGCCCCTCAAACCCTCAACTCCGTTTAAGTGATCCTTCCACCTCAGCCTCCTGGGTAGCTGAGACTACAGGTGCACACCACAACGCCCAGCTAATTTTTGTATTTTTTTGTACAGATGGGATCTCATTATGTTGCCCACGCTGGTCTCAAACTCCTGGACTCCAGTGATTTGCAAGCCTTAGCCTCCCAGAGTGCTGTGATTACAGGCATGAGCCACTATGCCCAGCCAAGTATTCTTAATATTAGTTTGGAATGTTTTGAAGTAAGTTTTTAGGTTAAAATATAGTTATACTGGATACGAGAAGAGGCAAAACAATTTTTTAAATATGTAACTGGAGCCTTATCCAATTATTCTAGTCATATTCTAAGACTGAATTTTCGTAAGTGGTAGTTTGGGTTTTAATTTTCACAAATATCTCAACACACATGACGCTTAAAGTTGGGTTCTCCGAAGTGTAATTTTGAAAAAAGTTAGTAGTGTACATAATTTGAGCAAAATCGTTCTTCAAAAGACCAGAGGGATAAGATAATAACACAGAAGAGTTAATCATAATGAATTTAAATTCTATGAAATTAAAGCCACAAATTTTTCCCAAAAATATCACAGAATATTAGAGGTAGAGGTTTCACAAGGATTTATCTATTTTAATATTCTCATTTTACATATGAAAAAATTTAGGCACAGAAAGGCTAAATGCCTTGCCAAGTGTCACATAATCGGATAGCAGCAAAGCCAGGTCCTCTGATTCCAATTCAGTATTTTTTCCACTACATGCTAATATTAATAGAATAACCTTTGAAACTAATAAACTGTTAAAAGTTTTAAAAGACTATCAAATTATAAGTAATTTCCTAAAGTACTCTTAAAAAACCTCATTAATATTTTTCTGCCATTGTTATATATATATATATATTATATATGCATTTAATTAAATAAGAATTTTCAAAACTCAGGAATAATTGTTAAAGAAATAGAGAAAGTCGAAGTACTTACAAATCCAAAAAGCAGGTACAGGTTAAGGGGATACTTATGTCTGTTTAAATTCAATGCAAAAATCAAACCCAGAGATCCGAGGGCAAACAGCAAAATTAAGGCAGGACTGAAAGATATAATATTAAGTGTTTCAAGTTAAAAAATTAGCATGAGCAGTATTATCCAATTTAATAACATTTATCTAATTTATATGTTTATGAAAGTACAGGAGAAAAAATCTGGAATGAGCCACACCAAACTATCAAATTATTTTACATCTGGAAAATTTGAGGGGTACAAGGTAGAAAGGAGACTCAGGACAAAGAAAAGAGTCCAAAATGAATGGGGGAGACTTTTCCTTTTTACTGTATAAACTTCTATCATATTTAAATAATGTTTACAATTAGTATACTAATATAAGACAGTAAAGAAATTAAATAATAACAACTACTTTTTTAGAGTATTTGCCATATGGCTGTAATTTAAATTAAAGAATTATACCTCAAACAGCAAACTAATAGTTTGAGACTCCACTTTGGTGGAGGGGAAGGGAAAAGAAATTCTCTGCTTCTATGAAAATATTCGTTAGTTCTCCTTTCCTTTAATATAGCAAAACTGTATTTTTTTAAGCAATTGAAATAATTATGTTGGAGGTCAGACTTTAATCAGGAATGAATTGCGTGGCAGTCTTTTGAAAACTTCTTGGTGAAATTATCCTAGTCATGAGCGAAAACTAAAATGAACGCACACTTATTTTCCAAGCACTGTCATACGCTTTGAGCACAGGAACTGTAGTCTAATAAAGTTTTTAAAAATTAAGATGTTTTAAAATGGCATGCAGTAAAAATTCTTAATACTATTCCAGGAGATGAGGGTTTACTGAAGCTAAAAAGTTCAGAGGTAAATACCATGTTGTAGAATATTTTTCTTTATCAAAAACAAAACTAATCAGGCTTGTAAGAGTTAGTTAATGAACTTTTTTACATTTTAACCTCAAAAGTTAACAGAAAAAAGTGGATTTTGTTTATAATATGCCTTTTTGATCATATGCAATGTCTGAAAGTGATTCATTATCATCTCATTACCTTACCTTACCTTGTACCTTACCTGTCATGTACAAATGTCCGTATAGACTCAAAGTATAAAAAAACTGTTGAAGCCATTGTAGTTAAGAGAACTTGCAGAGAAAGAATGCTGTAGACTTTTCTTAGAAAGGCTAAAAGAGGAAAAAAAGATATATATGATTATTTGCTTAAGCATTTATCATAAAACAGTAAAATCAACTTTCCTCTTTAAAAAATTAAGTTTTTTTCATGTATTCTTTCCTAATTTTCATCCTGATAATGTAATCTGCAACTAAAACTAGGCAAGACTACAAAGCTTCCAAAATAATTAAAAAACTGTAAGAGATAGCTAACCTTCCCTCCAAAAAGCATAAGCCTAAAAAAATTAGTAGGCCAGAATGTAAATGTTTTCATCAAAATGGAAAATGTATTAAATGCCTAGTTGTACACAACAGCATACAAGCAAAAGACTAAAAGCAGACCGTTTTAAAAGAATGATTATATCTTGAATCTGAAAAGGAAAAACAGAAAGCATATAAACATAAGTTTTTTTTAAATCTTAATTTCCAAAACAGTAAAAATGTTTCCCCCAACTGAAACTTATCTTAAAAGGCAAATAACATATAAACTTACTTTCACTCATCTATTATAATTTCTCATTTATAGTACCCCTGCCTCCAGTTTCTATACAATAGAAAATTCTTACTTTCATATTTTGTTATCAATACCCAGAAATCACCTCTCAGAATTAATGATTAAATGCTTATTATTAAAGTCTTCTGATATACAGTGATGCAAATAATTCAATGAACTTCCAAGAACTCACTATCACCTTCAAAAATAAAACATTAGTAACACCTCCCACCTTCTCTCTCCGACATCCCTCTCCCCTCATACTTCTGGCTAACTACAAATCATCTTTCAAGGTTCAGCCTTTTTCAGTCCCCCATTCTGAATTAGATGTTTCTCCTTCATGCTCCTGAGGAACCCTAAACATACCCCAATCACTTTATGATTGATAAATCTACTTGTCCTTCACCCCCATGAAAGTGTAAAGACCGAAAGCTCCCTAATAATTGGAAGCAAGCCTAATTCATTTCCATACTCCTACCACTCATCCTAGTGGATAGCACTGAATGAACAGTGGTTAAATTTTATTTGCTTTTAAATAAATTTTTATTGAATTAATGAAGGGTAAATTTTACTAGTCAGGGAAAAGAAAAAGTAACATTCTGAAATGAAACAGAATAATGGAGCCACTACTTGGAGCACTGTCCTTAGGCAGGCAGTAAAAATCACATTGAATGACTCTTACCCAACAAAAGAAAATGTGATGTTGTCTCTTGCCTATCATGGCAATGCTCATGGTAAATGAGCATTAGATGGTGGATGTTCCTTTTGAAAAATATTCCTACTAAAGACCTGGTTTCCCAAAGAAGGGTGAAGTGCTTTGATGACATGTCAGCCAACTATCAAGTTAATAAAAATAAAATAAATCTTTCACAAGAATAAGGGAATTTCCATCAATACTAAGGATTTAATCATCAAAATGCCCAAATATTAAATCTTAATTAATTTTTCCCTCTGGCACTCTTTCCAAAATCTAGAATGAGTTTTTCCTAATGTCTTAAACAGACTTTATTAGACATATAATTTAACCAATGACTCACAAGAACCCTGAGTGTCCATTGTATTTTGGCCTAGAGATAAATAGTGCTCAACTCCACAGCAGATCTACGACTTACTTTCTTAAACAGGCCCTGATATCTGCATGCTCTGGGAGGTCATTTCTATCTTTTTCATAAAAGCAGAGTAAAGAATATACTACTGTCATGGACAATGTTATCTGGGCTATCTTTCTACAAATTTAATTATTAAACCAAAGGTCAAGCCATTACACCTGCAAGGGATTTTCTGGACTATGAGAAAGAAAAATCATATTCTTTACACTACAGCCTCCATGTCCTGGACTCAAGCCATCCTCCAGCCTCAGCCTCAGCCTCCCAAGTAGCTGGGAATACACGCCCACAATGCCAAACCAAGATAGATGTGTGTGTGTGTGTGTGTGTGTGTGTGTGTGTGTGTGTGTGTAAAAGAGAGAGAGAAAGAGACAGGGTCTCACTTTGTCCCAGGCTTAAGTGCAGTGGTGTGATCACAGTTCATGGCAGCCCCAACTTCCAGGGCTCATGCAATTCTCCTACCAGCCTCCTCAGTATCTAGGACTATAGGCACCTGCCACTATGCCCAGCTAATTTTTTTCTATATTTTGTAGAGATGGGGTTTCACCACGTTGCCAGGCTGGTCTTGAACTCCTGGGCTCAAGTGATCCACCCACCTTGGCCTCCCAAAGTGTTGGGATTACAGGCATCAGCCACTGTGACTGGCCCTGGAATGTATTCTTTACTTTTGATACCCTTTCATGTAACTCAAAGCCAATCCATATGATATATATTCTCAATTAAGCAGTGAAAATTAATGTTACCTGTCTACAGCTCAAAACAGTGTTTAAGGTCTATTAAGATCTAAAGTTTATTTGCATATGTGTGTATGTACACAAGTACATATGAAATAAAAGACTAGAACAATATATATCAAGGTGTTTGTATTCTCTGAGCAGTAATACTAAAGATAATTTTCATTTTCAGTTATTTGCCAATCTGTGTTTTTTAGATACCCGCAGTATGTATTACTATTGCAATTAAAAACATTTTAAAGAAACTTGGGCTAAGCCTTTAAATTCATACTAAAAAAATTATCCTTATGCATATATTCCAGACAACTTTTTCTGTATTCTGGTATCATAAGCCAAATCCCAGGCAAAAGCAGTACTGACACCCATTGTGAATAATACAAAAAGTAGCAAAGGACATGCATATACAGCTCTCAGGAAAATTTAAAAAAGATTCAATACGAAAAGAAAACTAGTCACACAGCAAGATTTTCCAACTTTTGTTGAATACTGATTTCTCCCCTTCTATTTGACATCTCAAACTTACCATGGCTAAAATCGGAGCTCTTCATGTATCCAAATTTGCTGTTCTCCTAGTCTTCTCATCGATAACCAGCACCAACATCCTCCAAGCCAAACACAGAAGTCATCTTTGATTACCGTCTCCCTGTTCCCAATCTGTCAGCAACTACTGTAGTTCCACTTTTGAAAGTGCAACATATCTGCCTCTTTTGCTCTCCTTTGCTACCTCCCTAGTCAAAGTGTGCCTGATCTCTCACCTGGACCCCTGGAGGAACCTTCTAATTGGTCCCCATGCTTTCACTCTTGTCCCACCTATTTCTCCACACACACCTGTCAAAGTGATCTTTTTGAAAAGTAAACCGTATCATGTGACTATGCTTAAATACTTAAATAATCATTTCACTTAAAATGTCAAAGGTTTTATAGGGCCTGCAAGGTCCTACATGATGTAGTACCTTTCCAATCTCATCTCACAGCACTCTCCCTCACCATGCTTTACCCACATTAGTCATCTTCCTGCTTCAGGGCCTCTGCACTTGCTGTTTCCTCTACTTGGAATGCCCTTATCCTTCTTTACATGTAGTGGTGGTTTAAGATATGTCATAATTCTTTGATACTCCCTTCAATTGAGTCCTAACAAAAAGAATGATGCAAAAGTGGCAATGTGCTACTTCTAAGACCAAGTCATAAATGGCATTATGGCTTCCAAATCCTGCTCTTTCTTAGATCATTTCCTTTGGGACAGTGTTTCTCAATCTTGTTTTCATTATTCCTCACCTGAGTAGCCTTCTAGATATTTTATTCCTAATAGGCCCCTCAATAAAATTTTAATGCCACAAATATACTATATACCTGTTTATGTACCATCACCCTTTGGAAGGATATATGTCACTATACAATCTTAAGCTTTTTTAGATCTTTAGATCCCTCTAAAGAACCAATTATCACCTAATGGGGTCAACAGCACTCCATTAAGAATGCATACTCTAGGGAAGGCCAGCTATGTTGTGAGGAAATTCAGGGAGCCCTATGGGAAAACACATGTGGTAGGAAAGTAAGTTCTCCTGCCAACAGCCAGTGAGAAACTGAGGCCTCCTATGAATAGCCCTATGAGTAGCCTGTCTGGAAGCACACCCTTCATCCCCAGTCAAGCCTCCAGATGACCAGCACTAGCCGATATCTGGACCACAACCGAGGACAAACCCTGAACTAAAACTACACAGATTCTTGACTCTCAGAAACTGAGACAATGCGTATTCATTTAAACCACTAAGGTTCAGGGTAATTTGTGACACAAACAGAATTAATATTTCTCTTGGTTCCTGGAAGTGGGGTGCTGTCGTACCAAACACCTAAAATATGGGAGAGAGCCTTTGGAATCTGACAGTAGATGGAAGCTGGCAGATCTGTGAGGCGAAGGCTAAAAGAACCTTGAAGAAGCTGTTTTATAGAAAGTTAATGCCTTTGAGGCTACTGCATGTGAGGGCTTAAAGGAAAGTGGGTAAAATTTTGTACAAACTGGAGGCAAGAGAAATCTTATTATATACTGATAAAAAGTTGAGCAACACTGTTAACTACAGTTACATCAAAGGTAGAAATTGTGCTTAATGAAGAGGGTGATCAAACTAAGGAGATTTCCAGAGCGTCGGAGGTACCTGCAAGCTTCTTGCTGTTTATACTAAAATGTCAGAGAAGAGAAAGAGATACACAGCGAAAGGAAGAACTGTTAAAACAAAAAGAGGAAAGGCTTCTGACTCAAGGGACAACAAAAAAATACATAAAGAGTATAACTGTAAAATCCTTAGTTAAGACCTCACAAATATCCAAAATTGTGACTCAAAAAAAAAAAAAAAAAAGGATTCAAACAATAGGGCTTTTGAGAAGCTTAAGAAAGTTGTCACTCAGTCTCAGCCAAAGTTCATGCTAAGACATTTTTGGGTATGGCTTTTATTACTGAATGAAATAAAACCCAGTAAGAATCACAGGACACCTACAAAGTTTTCTGAAGAATTACATTGGCAAAAATACCACCTCATATTATCTACCACCAGATGCTGAATATGGCAATAGAGATGATTTGTCTTTTTGTTTAAAAGTCTTTGAGGGGAGCTGTACTTAAGGAACTACTCCCAAGGAACTATACCCAGTGAGCTTCATCAACACCTAGGGTTGATTTAAATG